TCAAGGGGATGGCAGCTGTTCAGGGACTACGTCCAGGAGAGCGGAATATACGCGGAGGCTAACCGGGGGATGGCAGGGATACCTGTAACTCGGAGGTGAAATATCAAAGGCCTAGGTGGTTTGGAATGGGCAGAGAGATTGGATTCGAGGCTCAGGCGCGTGGTGGCTGAGGCGGAACGATGGAAGGGAGATTGTTTAAGTTTTTCCTTCGTAATGCAAGATTTTGCGTAGAAGTTTTCTTTTGTTTTCAATTCTGGGCTGCTGGACTCGTCATGATTCAACACATAGATGTCTTTTGGCATGGTTCTGGTCATTTAAGTGGGACGACGCACTTGTACTGCACGGTAGTTAACCTGATCCGGCCCGACCCCACTCGTGCTCAAGCTTCAGTAGGAGTGCGACGGTAGTTACTTCACCTAGCACGTTAATGATGAAACAAACAAAACGCACAATTCGAGGATTTCGAAATTTCAAATTTTCCCTCTTTCCTCCCTTCTCAACCTCGTCACATCCATCTCTGAATTGTGATCGAGCTCAGGCATTTTCACCATGTCTCCCGTTCGCAAAAAGCGTCCCAACGCCAAGTTGGACAACACGAGAGTCCACCTGAGGGCTCTCGATCAATTACCTGGCCTTGCCCAGTCTCCGAAATGCGCGAAGATGAGCAAGGTCTCAATTAAAGGGAAGGAAAAAGCCCTCCCCGCTGTCACTGAGCTCGATACTGACATGATCGGGTCAGTTGAAACTGTTGAGGAAATTCCTCAACCACCCTCCGTTCCCCACGGGATTGGAGAATCGTCAAAATCTCCTCCGACCGCATCAAAACCGTCGTAAACGCTGCACCCATAGCAGCGTCAACATCAACGTCGCAGCCAAAAGCAGTCACGAAAGCAGAGTGTGCCCTCGAGCTCCGACCAATAGTCGAAGCTGAACAACGACGCGCCGCCGAAACAGCGGCAAATCTGGCCCTCTGCTCCGCCGCCATCTCTGGCGTCGAAGCCACCCTCCTCCCTTTGACCAACGGGTCAAATAGACAATTCGTAGACTCCATGAGAGTCTACCTACGCGCCGCCATTGCGCAATACATGGCCACGGGCCCGGCCACTTCGCCAACTGTTCTCCCTCCTCGCCCGACGAACCCTCTCCCAAGGGTTCCCGAAGCCAGGAGTAACACAACTCCCGCCGTCCCAGTTCTGCCTGTCAAAAGCACCTGGGCCACGGTGGCCAGAAACGAACTGCAACAAAAAGCAGTCCCAACTGTGAAGGCTGTGCCGCGAACTGTGGCAAAAGCCCAACAAAAAGAAAACCCCAAGGCGAAAGTCAACAAGCGACTGTTCCTTCGCCTTGAAAAGGACCATCCGTGGCGAAAACTGTCCACAAGCAGCGTGAGAACTAAGTTAGAGTATACATTCAGCTACTTTAACCAAGAAATAACTCACTCCGCCGAGTGAGAACGGGCTTTGCTCTGCTAGCAAAGAACGAAAAAACACGACAAGAGACTTTAGATGGCTCTTCGAAGCTGGCAAGTCAAAACGTCAAACTCGAGGCATCTTTGGATCTTGTTGCCTTACAGATACCGAACGTACCTGTAAGTATAGTTACAGTGTGCGGCGCCAGGGCGGTCGATGCTAGCTGGGTCTCTGCCAAGATTCTCGGTACGACCGGCGCGATTCCAATCCAGATCCGACCTCATGCGACATATCGACCTGGGGCACCGTATCAAAATTGGCATGCCCTTTTCACGCGGGACAACGCCCCTCGTGCGGGCTTCCGCCTCGTCGCCAAATTAAACAGTGTAAACGCTGTTTGGGCTTCCACGCCACTCGTGGTTGCTCCCGCGCTCCAGCATGCTGGAACTGCGGCTCCAACACGCACTCGGAAGCCGAGTGCAAGGCCCTCACAAAGTGTCACAATTGTGGGGGACCCCATCGGTCAGATTCTCGGGCCTGCCAAAGTCAGACCCAAAAAATCCGGACCGATGACAAAAGAGCAGCTCGCGTGGATCTGCCACATCGAACAAGGGGAGTTCGCGAAGGTGGCACGAGCACGAGCAGCAGCCAAAAGGGCCGAAGAGGCGATCATCGCCGCGGCGAAGGATGTCTCTATGGCCGAGGCAACAGGTTTCGGAGTGCTGGGATCTGAAGAAGAAGTTTGAGGACACAGCAACCTCGACGATGTCCCTTTTAGGACATCTACTAACCAACAGCAGGATACCGGCTGGATCAAAGGTGCCTGCTAACTCATCTCTTGCATTAAGCGGAGAATGGGTAAATTTGTCATTTGGAAGGTGTGACGGACGAGGGAATGTGTGAGGAGCACATTGCTTGAGTCTAATGTGGAGGAATCTTCTGGTTTTCGATGTTGTTTTGATTTTCTTGATTTTTCGTTTCAGTCTAATCAGCTGCACTTTTGGTAGCGATTCACGAGGCTGGAACGAGTTAGGCTGTAGGAAAGATTACAGGGAACCCTGCCGGATCCGCCGGTCCTTGACCCTATGTGGAAAAGATAGCTTTAGCTTAGGACCAAAAAGTTTAAAAAAAAACAAACATTGGGCTATACGGACGCTCGGACTCAGCATGGTCCTTTTTTTAAATCACTTAATGCGCATTCTGTTAGAATTTAGAATAATTGGGACTATCAAGTAGGCCACGATGTTGAACGTGACTGCTAATTCTTTACTTAATTTCACTTCGGTAGTTACTTGAATCAATGCGCTCTACAACCTCAATGACTGAGGGGTCATTATTTCCTTAATATGTTCAGCTATGACACATGACCGTTGCTTTATACATACGTAGGATGATTCTTTTGACGTTGGAGACACTCATACTTTGGATTTCATTTGCGAATACAGCTATGAGGTATGTTTGCTTACACAAACAGTCGATCCTCCTCCGTAATTATCCACCAAAGGGAAATTCAAACCCTATGACTATCCAAGCATGCCTTCATCATCCATGCATACCAGCGCCGCGAGAAATGTGGTAGTGTTTTGCCGGATTCGAACCAGCGGTCTCCTATCTCAAATGGGATATGTGTCCTAGCTACCAAGACTCTACTTGGAAGGCCGGCTAAGATGACGTACCACTGCATCATCCAACCATGGCAGTGTTTATCGTGTCGCCTGCTCGGCTCAGCGTTGTCGGACACACGGTGGAGTACGAGATGTTTTGTCCATTTAGATGGATCCAATTTCTTGTAATTGATCGCAGTGAACATAATGTTTGAAATCTAGATTTAATATATCTGAAGGTTTAAATTTCTAAATATGATCATCAAGATCTGTAAAACTTAGAGAGGTCTTCGTGCGAATGTCACGTGAATCGTCAAAAGGTAAAAGCGAATACAAGAATAAATTGATTAATTGTCTCCGTGCTACGAGTCCATCTTAGCACTATAATATCTAGTTCTACCCTATTGATGCCCCTGATCATCATTACTAGTCTGACATGCCTGCACGCAGATCGTGCTTTCGCTTTTGGACTGGATCCAGACTTATGCAAGCACAAGTCTGCTTACAAGATCAATTCAATTGATCCGATTGCATATGGTTAAGCTCAGCTGGGCGACATGAGGTTCAGTGGTATCTGAAATGCAGTGGCTAGGAAATGCTACCTTGCGACAATGAAGTGGCTGGTTGTTGCTAGACCACTTGGAGTTTGGTATCACTAAAGCCTCAGGGATCTGTATTTAATGATAGACTTACTATTATATGTTAAACCAAGTCAACAGAGTATTATATATTATTAATTTATATTGAGAAGAGAGTTCGATCTCATATACAACTATCAATAAATTCTCGTCTGAAATTACACACTTGTTCTTCGAAATATTTCCTCCTAGAAATCCTTGACAATCTCTAACACATAATACAGACCGCATCCACTTATGATCAGCTGCCTCGGGAGCGCGACTTTGACAAGTAACTAGTGCTTGAAAATATAAAAAATACAGAGGGAATAATGAACCCTGAGTCATAGATTGTAAAGCACGTTCATCAGAGCACCTGCCTCGGTAAATATAACTACATAATCTTATACCACGTGTGTATTTACAATATGGCCTATATAAAATGTTAGGATTAGGTCCTGGTTAACGATGTCTAGCCTAATTGTGCTATGTTGCAGGCTACTGTTACAATTATTCATGGGGTCATCATCAGGGTTGTGAGTAGTTTCGGTTTTGGTGTGGGTTGTTAGATTGATACCTGAGCGTGTCGCATAGTTGTCTGATATGCGACTCGAGTAGCATATGCATGGTAAACCTCAACCCCAAAATGATGATACGAATCAGGCTTTACATGCTACGTCCTGTATGGCTAGCGTAGTTGGAATATGAGGAATTTACCTGTAGATAGATAAAGACGTTGTAGCCCTCTGATAGTTGGGACAAGTCTTCTACAATATTATATCGGAATCAATACTAGCCTCTCATTAAGCAATCTCATGAATTATTTCCAATGTCTGTGATAACAGACATGCATATACAATGTGGACAACAACTTCAAAGTCGATAATAAAAGCCCTATTTGTTATAACTTGAACAACAACAATCTTGTTGAATAACCCAACACCTCCGAGATCAGGCTTTCAACAGGTCAGCCAATGAAACTAAGAAGTACCGAGAGTCGGAATGGTTATCGCAACGAAGCAGTGAAATTCTGCATTCTTTATGATCTAGTCAATAAAGTAAATTTTAACATATATGTGACCAGATTCGTGAGAAGGCGCGTTGTTAGCCTATCTACTAACAAGCGTACCTCATCAAAGCTTGTAAAATTTTGAGATAAAGGATTAGTTTCTCACTGAATTTACATCATGTCTAATCTACAGCGTAAGGAAGATTGAAACATGGCTAAATTTAAATATTCACGGCATGTTGTTGTGTCAAATGCATATTTCAATGGTGATCAGCGCAAGCAGAGATACCTGACAGAAGTTTATTTCTTGGCTTAAACTCTTTGTTCACAATAATTCGATAAACAGATTAACCTAACATAGTTACGTAGATCGCTTTAAAGCTATTTCTTTCCAATGATCTCGCTCGCTCTTAAGTCTGCAGATCTCTTCCTCAAGTTCCCAAAGCCGCTGCATCTTACGCTGCCGAGATTTGCGGGCGGCGAGGGTATTTCGAGCCCTTTTAATAGCAACAGCGTCATTGGGGTCCTCGATAGAAATAGACTCATGAAGTTTGGCACGCTTTCGTGGTATAGGTGTAGACGAAAGTTTGACGCCTGAATGGCATGGACTAGATCTCGGTGAGTGTGAAACTTTCAACCCCGCCATGAGTAATGAAGGAGATAAGTTTGCGTCTGAGACCGCTTCAGTGGTCTCATGAATCGAAGCAGCCAGAGTGATCCAATCATCACCTATTGACGGGTAATCAAGATTTGATTGCGGGAGATGGGCAAAATCTAACAGATCATTGAAATCGGATGATGAGTTCCTCATGCACGATGATTTTATGTTGGTGCAAATATATGAGTTCGGGGTTGATTCACTAAACTCTTGAAGTAAATTCATCGCAGGTGTTGATTTGGTACTAGGAAAGCTTGAAAATGGCATGTGTACGTTGAGCTCATCCATTTCTAGGTTTAGAGGTGATGGGTAGAGAGGAAAGTTAGAATCCAAGACGACACCTTCATTTTCATTCCTAGTGAATTCTTCATATAGGTCGATATCTGTATGGGGTTAGGACATCAAAGTTATTAGCCGGAAAGACATACCAGTTATCCCCGCACTGGAATCCCAATATAAAGTTCTTGGAATTTGCGAGCATGATTCTCTAAGGTCATTTTGACAATTCCATTGAACATCTACAGGATTAGAGTTGTCGAAAGTCGACGTGATGGTATGAGTAGTATTGCAAGATACTGGTCCCGCAAAAGCTTGCGTTTTGGAGTTATTAGGAGTTTTCGGACTCTGTGGGCTTTGGTACAGTGCAAAATTTTGGTGATTTTGCCCGGGGAAATCTGCGTATTGAGGGTCTAAAAGAGGCAATTGTTGGCACAAGTTGACTGTTGAAAAAGAGTTTGGAGTGTGACATATTGAGTTTGGATCCGTAGTGACGGAGAAGAGACCTGATATAGGGATTTTACGGGTCAAGTTTAGGAACTGGCTGGCTGGATCCAAGTGACGATTTGATAAGCTGTGTGGATATTTATGATGGTAAGATGAGAAGTTTGGCAGCTTTGCTCACGTGGTTGTATTATTTTGAATGTGAACAATTTGACGAAATCTATAAATGAGTTGAATAGTTTATTGCCGACGAACAGAGGGGTCCTGACTGTTGCTGTAATAGCTCTCGCAGTGGAAATTTACTGCATGCAAACAAAGTTCCTCGCAGATATCGTGGCAGTGGCTTGCAGGATTTTATATGTATATTGGGGCGGCACCTCAGTCAAATTTTGCGTGGGGCAGCTAACGCCAAATCAGACACCACTTTCACTAAAAATCCCTGATTGTACATACACATTTCGTAAAAGTATTGCCCCAATTTTCTCGAATCTGATCACATCTATCCCTGAATGAGTCACACGGTACGTGATTGTTCTCTTGGTTAGCAATTTGTGGATAACGTGAAATGACGACTCGAGGTTTTGGGTTGATCTCGGTGCTCGATGCCAAATATCCAACCTCTATCTGGACGACAAGTCCGGGATTTATCATTCCTAGTAGATGCACTAATTCTTTCAGGCCTTTCCTAGCCTTGTGATTTATTATCTCTCTGTTTGAAAATTCTAGCCTACGACTCGTACCAATCTGAAGCCTATCTATTTGAGCTACATGGTGAAAACCATTTTATTTTCAGTCGGATTATCTACGCGATTGATATGGCTTAGAAAATAGCTACTGGTTTGATTGAACGCTTGACGTGCCTGATGCTCGATTTTCCGAGGCACTAAAAACCCGAACTTCCAAACTTCTTGCACCGACGCCTACTTCATAGATGACAGCTGACGTGAGTGTTTAGGATACGGCGGGGCAGACTGCCGAGGTATCTGCTCTCTGATTCTTGTAAATGAGGCTGATAATTCTCTGTAGAACTTCCGGCAGTGCCTCGATGCGCAGTTCTCCGTAGCCTGCCATCAATACCCTCCCTTGCATCTCAACGGCCCAAGAGCAATGATTCTCATGCGGTTGGAGAAACACACGATGTGACGTCAGATGATGGTAGCTTACGCGGAATGGTTTTCCAGATTTAGCGACCCGTTCCGCTCGTAGTGACAGCCCGAGACAGGGGTATAATGGGTCGTGGTTCTTTACTGGTGCATGGACCAGGATTAACGTGGCTATGGCTGCTTCGACCACTCGACCTCCTTGTCTTTACTCCACGGTCTAGAATTTCGACAACTACTTCGCTCATCGAAGACACGACTCCTCACATGCTGGCTAGGAACTCCAATGCTTCTAGCCTTCTTTGATATTGAGTGTGATCCCACCAGAGCTTTGAATACTTGAAAAGTGCCGCACACAAATTCTTCCACATCGACGGGTGCAAATCTTTTTGCCGTCGATCGCACGCGTCCAAGCGCCACATGAGCCGCAGTCGAGTGTGAGTCACTCCATTTATCCGGGGTTCGCGTAACCCTGTCACTTTACCGGGCAGATGTGAGTAGGAGAGTTGTCATTGGATGCCAGCCGAATTTCAATTCCGCTCCCCTGCTATCAAAGCAATCTCTAAAGTCGCGAATTTCGTCCAAAAACGAGCCCCCCAAATGGTAAAATGCAGTTCCTTATTTTGCACCATTTTCAATTGTCAGACCAAACATGGAAGGTCGAAATGGAAGTTCGCCGCTCGATAAGTTTATGCTACGAAAATATTAATATTCTGAAAAGGAAGCCCTTAAATGCTCACGAATATATCCGCGTAGCAGTATCCCCCACTACGTCGTCTCATGTGTGATGAGGCATAGTGGTCTAGGCCCTTGCACAACTAATTCACAAGCAGATATGATTCCGCATATGTCAAGCTCAGCTGAGCAAAATGCATATCCCAGTCACTTCTGTGAGGTAGATCATGAACCCTGACTTTGACGAACTCAAACGATCAGCATTTTCAGGATATTGTGGGCAGGATAATTGTTATTGCTGGAGCTTAACTTACTTGGGGCTTATATCCCGCGAGACTATTAGTGAGAAAACACAAGATAAAAAATATCCTGATACTGTATCTCTCCGCATGCTTGCATGTCTGATGAAATCAAACTTGCTAGATTCTGACACGAATTCCGATGGACGCACCGCTTATAATGAAATCAGCTTTCTTTAATTCTCGTTGCACGCTATAACATCGAGATCCGATAGATTTACGGCAGACAACCTGCATCATACTGCATAGTTCTTTTCATATCTTAATTGCAAATCAAATATTCACCTGCGCAGTTGGGCAATGTCATATGCGCTTATGTCAAGAACTCTCTGTAACTTGCTTACCCCATTGGTGGATCAGTGCAACCAAAAGAATACATGTCACTGGGAACTATACTATTTACAGCAAAACATCACCTGAGATTTAAAGCCATAATTAATATCGTAACTACAAACTATGAAGATGTTGGCATTAACTCGTCGTTAGAACAATATGGCTGGGAAGATGAAGAGCAGATTCTCACTGAGAGTCCAATCACCTGTAGCCACGTATAAAGGTAGAACTGTTTCTTTAAAACCATAGGATGGGCAGGGATTAGTCAAAATCTAGACTAAGAAGGCCAAAGAGACTTGCCTTAGCGTACGCTTGCTAAAATATTATTTCTTTAAGCTCCAAGCTGGCTACGACGAATTCTTCACCCTTCCGGGATCCCAGTGTGATTGCTCAATGTGCCCTGCATTTCTGTGATAGCCGGAAATAATCGCATCCAAATCAAGGGCAAAAGCATATAGAAGCATATAAGATCGATAAATTCTCATCAATATCAGATCTATCATTCTCAAACAAATCCTCTAACTTTATCTTACCGCCCTCTACCTCACCTTAGCGAGCGATCAAACAGTTACTCTAATTGCAAAAGAGAGCATGCCTCCGTATTTACCACCCATCCCCACTACTCAATTATGACGCTACGTATAACTGCAAGGAGGAAGCCAACTCATAATACACAGAGCTTGAGTCTTAGATTAAGGGGGACTATTGCTCTAATGGAGCTCTCCAACTTGAAGGAGAACAGGCAGCTGCGACGTAAGACGAGCGAGTGAAAAGGTCAAGAATTGGTATACGAGGATTCATAATTTTCGAGGTGTTTCGACTTTTGAGTGCTTATGGGCACTGATGCTACGATTTTGGACAGTACTACCGACACTTTTGTTGGAGATTCAGGCTCTGTGTGTTTGAAGTTTCCTTATGATTGGAACAACGAAGATTCTCACGCATAACTCACGACCTAGATGATTGACATCTCTTTCATTGAGCATATTGAATGCATGAGACTCGACTAGTGCATGGTTTGGCTTGGTATCCGTGAGATAGACTTTCATCCCCCGACCCTGACCATATACTCATGTTATATACTATCGTAAGACTCATTATCATTGTTAGATTATGGAACGAGTGGTAGATGGTACCTAATTTGGATTTTTCTACTAAGAATACATGTATAAAAGCTCTCTACGAATCACAAAGACAGAAATAATTCAATCAAGTCAATCCAATTCATTCTATCAAGCACTTCTATTTCCACAGTTAATCATATATTCTCTTGATGCATATCGATATTTAAATATAGGACACATTACGTTTGCTTCGGTGGATGGAAATTTGAGAGAATGACTTCGGTCATTACGGCAACAGTCGGCGAAATTCAAGGCGTTGACGTAGAAATCGGCCTCTTGGTGAATGATAGTGAGGGATTTAGGTGAGGACAGAACACCAGATCAAGACATTTTGTTTTTCATGTTTATTCTTAGTACTATTGAATTAATCATTTTGATAGTTTTTGTTTTGTTTTGTTCATTAACGTGCTAGGTTACATGGCTACCGTTGCACTCCTATTGGAGCTTAAGCACGTGTAGGGTCGGGCCGGATCAGGTTAACTACCGTAAAGTACAGATAAACCTCGTCCCACTTTAATGACCGGACCACCTCAGACTTCACCTATGTGTTGAATCATACCAAGCCTAACCGTCCAGAAACCCGCTGTATACACGCCGTAGCGCAATTTCTTCCTCAGCCTCGGCCACCACGCGCCCGAGTCCTTGACATCCTCATTGACTCCGAAATATAAATGCCGTCCAAGATCTCATCGTTGCTCTAGCCTTGCACCTTCATATCGTACCGTTGGGTTGTTTTCGTCATTGGGGATTTGTGTAATCCCCTCGGTGCATCTTCCCTCTCCTTCCTCCTTTGTACACGTCCCGTTTCCATCATGACTTTCCTCATTAGGGCGTGTGTAGGTAGGTGATCGGACGGGTATGGAGGTAGGTCGCAGGTGTAGGATCGATTGAGAAATGCTTCGTCGCAAGTATAAAAGGAGTTTAAGAAATGTCGGATATTTGAATACGACCCCCAGACAGACCTAGGCCCATTCGTGAATTGTATGTTGGTGGTGATGACTTTTTGTTCGACGTTGTTGCGGCTGTGAAATCTCTGCCGACTGATTTTTCGACCAAAATATCGAGTGCAACTCCTTCAAGTCGAAAATCCATCAAATAATATTCATCCCACCCTTTTTCGTGACTGAATCTCGGCTCTGGAAGAATATTTCACTCCCAGGTTCGTAGAGGACACCACTGACAGGTGTTCAGCCTTCGTCCTCCTCATTTTGATAGTCTTGGTAGCATTGGATCTTTTGGGATTAACACCCGTTTCAGGTCATATTGGATGCAGGGTGCTGAGAAATGCTACGGGGATAAAGTTGTTATAGGGTTAAGCTTAAATAGGATTAGCGCCCCTTGAAGGTTTATGAATCTCCGTCTATGACCGTAGAATAAAGAAGAAAGGAAGACACCAAAACCGATAATATTACCTACTCACTCGAGTGACCTGTAATATCAACACAGGGCTTGTGACTGACACATTAAAATAACAATAAATCTCTTAAATCCAAGTCT